CACAGAATATTGGCTAATACAGCAAGTCATTAGGGCCTGCAGAACACGGTTTTTTCCTAAGTGGGTTTGTGCCATTTGTTTTAAATAGCCTGAGAGCAAAATCATCCCCAACAGCCCTACACTTCCACTGAAGTCCTGATTATTCTGTCAAGACAGATCTCCAAAACAACACTGACACAAATCTTAGACTCTCACTTCCAGACAAGCTATGAAAAGGCCATGTGTCTTAGTCTACAGTGACACAAATATAATTGTTATTTTTGTTTTGTTATGCCTCCTTCTACCCCCTTCCCTCTAACATTTCAAGTAATGGGGGAAGGGAAGGGAGAAATTAACCCTTTGAAGAACCTGTAAAAGATTTGGGATAGGCTTTCTGTTTTTCTTTCATGTTCTGTGCTAGGGTTTAACTGAGGGCTTTAGGAAAGTGTTCTACCCACTGAGCTATAGCTCATGTAGAAAAGGAGAAGGCAGACTAGGGAGAGAGAAAGAATATGCTCTAAAAACAGCTCAACTGAATGGATGGTTTTAATTTATAGTTGTTATCTCAAACTGTATTTGAACATCTTAACAATTTGTTACTTGAAGCCCATGTGAACAAAACACCATGGCCAAAGCCACCTCCAAATTTGGAGGAAACAGCTAGGCTCTTACAGGCCACTGTGACTAAGTGCCTTGCTTATTCTCTCCCTTTCCGGTGATCAATCAGCAGATTTCCTGAACCCCTACACATATAGAATTTTCCCAACACAGACCTGTAGCTGTGACCTGGATATGACAGACCCTGTGAGTCTCTACCAGGATATATGCCTGAAGTTTCCTTATGGGAACTCCTATGCAGAATGTTTTGACCCCAAACTTAATTAATCACAGAACCATGTGCCCTTTTCATTGGGAAATGACAGTCACCGCCCATCTTGCCCTACTCATAATAAAGACTCAGGGAATCAGTGGGCATGAACTTCTGATTTTTGTAATGGGTAACAATGGCATTCCTTCATTTCCTTAACATTAGATGCCTCAGATACCAAGAATTGGACTTCCTAGCAATTTTAAAGCAATTGCACATCCTTAAGTAGGAAAACTGCCTTTAAAGTTACTAATAGCTTGAAACTATTTTATCTTTATTTTGTGTTGACAGAGGCTATTCCAACTCTTTTTAGAGAGGCCTATGTGTTTTTAAATGCTATGTATATTACTCCCTTTCCTAGTTTTGGCTCAGGCCAGCCATGCCTAATTGAGTTCAGAAATATCCATTAAGAAGGAGGAGTTTGTTTTTTGTTTTTGTTTTAACACTCAAGGTTCTACAACCTAGTATAAACAAACCCTGGTAGCACCAACTCCTTTGGCAATGTCTGGGGTTGGGGAGACAAGGAGAGCTGTGCCCAACAGCGGACCCAAAGCTATGATCAAAATCAAAGCATAACTAGCATCTCTAGGGAGTTAAAATTAATGTTTATATCATGGAAATATGACAGCATTGTTATATGGTTCAGTTATACATGATGTGGTGGTACTGGGAAGTGTAGAAGGAAATCAATGGAAACAATAGGGTTGGCCACCATTGTCCCAGGGACAGAATTGGAAAGAGCTGAGGGGCTGATGCAGGTGACCTCAAAAGGTCTAACACAATATGACAAAGAATGTCATCGACCTGAGAGCAGGATAGAGATGTTCTAGCTTTAAAGATGCCTGGATGTCATTCCTAATGATCAATGTGATATCACTTTTACCTTAGAGGTTTGGGGCTTGTATGAGGGAGAATACTGGTGGGAATTCCCAGGAGACTTCTCTGTAAGGCCAGAGATCCACACATTCCAGAAACATGAAGGTTCCTCCATGTGCCACAGGTTGCACTGCAGTTTGCACTGCCGTTCTCTAACATTTTATGGACAGCTTTACTGAGTAGCCACTGGGTGCTGGACAATGGGCTAGGGATTTTCTTGTGCTCACTAGCTTCTCAACATGCTTTTAAGAAACATCTATTAGATATCATACAACAAGGAGAGGGAGGGAGAAACAGTTTATGAGGTTGGATACTGCATTGTCTCCTTTGTGAATAAACATTAGCATGGAAGGTCTGGCGAGTGTTAACAAAAAGGCAGAGCCATCCTGTAACAGCAAGCATGTGAGGACATATGACAGGCAAGAGGACAGAAAGAAAAAGAAGGGAGACTAGCCAACAGCCTCAATTTTTAGATCAGGGGCTAAATTCCTCCATGGTGGAACGACTAACCTGGTCTGTCATAGGTCTGGCTCCCAATGGCTTTCCCCAGGTGAGGGCTCCCTCCTCCCAGAATAAGCAATCAAGAGAGGCAGCAGGCTGCAACCTCCCATAAATCCTAGGAATTCCCTCTGTGTGCTGATGGCAGGCATCCTGTTCTGGTCCCTCCCTCCATTGTCCCAGCTGTTTTTCCTAAGTCATGAGGGTGGGTGTGGGGGATCCCCAAGGAGCCTCAACTGGCATTCACCAACATTTTTCAGGCTCAAACTTGTATGGCCCTGGAAAGGTTGACATGTTCCTTGGTTTCCTCGTGGGGCTTTCTCTGTGTTCCCTGTTTCTTCTTAGTTGGCAACATCAGAAAGCCTGAGTGGCTGACAGCTAGTGACTAGGACAACTCACAAATGGCCTCAGCTGCTTCTCTCAGTCCCTAAACATTTCACCTGGGTTTGTTTGTTTTTGGTTTTTCAAGACAGGGTTTCTCTTGTGCAATAGCACTGGCTGTCCTGAAACTAGCTGGAACTCAGAGATCTGCCTGCCTCTGCCTCCCAAATGCTGGGATTAAAGGTGTGTACCACCACTGCCTGGCCACTATACATGTTACAGCCACTTCAACATCTTGAGAGAATGATACTTACACATTACATGTAGGCATGGATGGGCAGGAAGATTTTCTTGTGATTTTTTTTTTTTTTTTTTTTTAGCTTACTAGATTGGTGACTAATGCCAATCTGATAGCGGTATAGAAATGGATTGTGTTCTGGTTTTAAAGATGCTTAAAGGCCATTCCTGATGGTTATGTGAAGTCAGACTCCCCTTAGGAACATCATCTACAGCTGCTACTAGGTATCTATCCGCCTTGGTACCCTTAGAGGTTGCCTCAGAGATACCAAGGGCTCAGGCAGGTAAGGTAGATCCAGGCTCTTACCTGAAACTATTTAATAGGAAAATCACTGCATGCTGTATCTAAAAGACAAACAAGGTGTTGCATTTGGCTCTGCTTTGCTCATTCAATGGGAGGTTAGGAGGGGCTGCAACTCTGAATAGACCCTTATGTTCTGAATGGTCTTGTCTTGATACAAAAAAAGACAACAGTTTCTACAGTCTTCCTTGAAACTTCTAAGCCTTAGAAGTAGTGACCATTTGGCACTTTTTTTTTTTTTTTTATATATGAAACAGCTTTGAATTACTCCAGGCAGGGGCAGAGTTAAGAGTCAACCCCATGGAGGTCTGGCAGAGACAGGTCCAGCTTTTATGAGCCTGAAGCTTATATAATTTTGACAGTTCATTTAAAACAAACAATATACAGACACACTACTAGGTCTCTGAACAGTAGGGTCACACAGCCTGTCCAACATGGAGACCCGACTTCACACTTCATCAGCCCCATAGCAAATCTACTTCTCACTCCAGGTCCTGTGTACATTCTCCTCTCCTTAGCTCTTTCAGCCTAAACTTCTGACTCTGAGTGGACATTACCAGCCCAGAAGCTAATTAAGTCAGCTCATCTTCTGTCTTTCCCATTTTGATTGTTACCGTTGCTTGCTGTCATTGTATAGAGTTATAGAATGGCCGTAGACAATGACAGGAGGTAGAGATTTCTTTTATTTTCCCAGCTCAGAGGTAAGGTGACATGGCCCCTGTCCTAGTTAGCTTTAATTTGTCGACTTGACATAGCCGAGACTCATCTGTCCGAGTCTCGAGTACAGGATTGCCCAGATCAGACTGGCCTGTGGTCATGTCTGTGTGAGAATGTCCTGACTGATGGTTGATCCTTCCTGGTGGGCCTGGGCTGCATGAGAAAGCTCTCTGAACAAGAGCCTGGGAGAGCAGGCCACTGAGCAGTGCTCCTCTGTGGTTTCTGGTTCAGTTCCTGCCTTGAGTTCTTGCTCTGACTTCCCTCAGTGATGGACTCTTAGCTGCAAGTGTGAGATAAAACAAACCCTCCCCCACCCCAAGTTGCTTTTGGTCATGATGTTTTTCACAGTGACAGAAAGCAAATGAACAGTCACCCAACTTAATCAGGGTTTAAACACACAGCATTGGAAGAAGCATTGACTCGTCACACTTGGCTCTCATTTCCAAACAATTGCTGTCTTTTCCTGTCTCTTTTTGCCATTTAAGCAAACAACATTCCCACTCTGCAACTAATTCAGGGGCTAAGGGTTGAACCCAGAGCCTTGTGAGTGCTAAGCAAGCACTCTGCCAATGAACTACTTCCTTGATCCCCCCCACTCTTGAAGCCACGATAATTTTGATATGGCCCTCCTAATCTTTCATGGTAAAGGGACCTGCCTGATGCTCACAGAAATAGACAGTGGTGACTCAAAGTACTCATGTAGCCAACAAGTCTCTCCTTTTCTCATTTACCCTTTAAAGCCCCAGATGTCTCCTCAGAAGCAGAAATGTAGCAGTTTGACCCTGACCTCTGTCTGTCCTTCTGTGGTACAGTCCTCCTCTTAAGAACACACCCAACTCTGTGCCTTTGGAGTTGACATTCCTGATAACAGTTTCCCATTATACCAGTCAGCATTCTAAGAAGCCCTTGAGGCACCTGCAGAGACTCTGACAGTTTGTCCCACACTGTGAAGTTACAGTGATCTCCCTCTGCCCCTTTGGATACCTTGGGAAACTTCTAAGACAAGCATGTGGCTCCAAAATTTGGTCTGGGAACTAAAGCAACATCTGGACAGCATTCCCATTGGCCTCTCATGCATGGAGCCCCCGCCATGCCTGTATGGAAGCCATCCAATGCAAGGTGTCCAGTGTACACGGGCCCTACCTGAGGACAGCAGGCTCCCGCTGCTGCCACTAATGATTTTCCCTTTGCTCCCCATGTTGGCCAGCTTGGAGGTCTTCAGTGTCCCTGTTTCTGTTAGGTCAATGGCGATCTCACTCAGACTTCGTGCTGCATGGATCTTGGACTGGAAAGAAAAGGAGAACAGGTTATGGAAGGAACAGAGAACATTGCCTACTTGTAGTCCTGAAGTCAGGTGGCTCAAAAAGCTACACACACTGGAACTCACAGCCCAGGGTCCCACAGGCTATAGAACACAGTGAGAAGAGTGTGGTCTTTGCAGTCTATATTCTGGGAAAAGTGTTTAATCTCATTGAGTCTTATTATTCCCAAATATAAACCAGCGACGTTACCACATACCACAAAGGGTGAGCTGGAGTCAGAGGAGACAGGCTGTGTGTAGGACATTCCCTTCTCTCCCTCTAATTGGCCCCCTCCTCTCCTTCCTTCTCTCTTTGACAGAGAAACAAATAGAAAATTGTGCCAGGGCAGTAATCCTAGCTACTTGGGTTGAGGTGGGGGCTGAGGCAGGACGATTATAAATTCATAGGCTGTTTGGTCCAAAGAACAAGTTCAAAGCCAGCTTGGACAAGTGAGGGACCCATTCTTAACATAAGAAATAGAATAAGTAGGTATATCTCAGTGGTAGAGCACTTCTCTAGTATGTACAAGATCCTAGGTTCAATTGTTAGCACCACACACACTCATACACATACATACGCACACACAGGAGCACACATACTTATTTTATACTTACATGAGGAGAAAATGAATTTTTAGCTATATCAATGGCAGATGAGATTGTGAAACAAATTCATGAACTATCAGTAAATCTAGAAGTTCTTAAATATCTTCAGCTATTACCCATGTGACCAGGGAAAGTTTAGATGATGAAACACTGGCATCCTACATCTGCAAAGACTATATACAGACAGAAGTCTCTGGAATACTCAGGTCCCACCAACAGCATCTATCTAAAGATTTGCTTCAATTCTCGTTGATTAAATCTGTGAAGGCTCTTAAGTTTTCATATTGGAGCCCAGATTCCATTCCACTTTGTGCGAGGATCAGCTGACCTCATCAGGCTTAAAGTCAGAGAGACAAGGAGAACCCCAGAACCATTTTGTTCCTTGTTTACAATTATATCCCTAAAAATGATTTCTTCCTCAGTAAAGCTATCTGCTTTACTTAGTTATACCTTTGGTAATGGAGAAATGTGTTGTATTTTCTTCCTATAGATATTACTTGGCATTTTGCAATGTTCCTATTGTTTTATAAATCAGTTTTTTAAATGCTACCATAAGCATCTAGAAAGCCTCTGCAAATGATAGTCAGGGCACACACTGGCTCTCTGTGATGGAGTTGGGCGAGCTCAGCGGGTATCTGTTGCAGGAGAGCAAGCCCTTCCACACCTACAAGTCTCCAGATGTATTCTGAGGGCTTTGGCGAGGCCAGCACACCACAGTCCCCTCTTCCTGGTTTACAGGCTTCCTCCTTTGCCCAGGGGCTGTTATTTGTCCCACAAAGGCTATCTGGGCCCTTAAGGCCTTGCCCTTCCTCTGGCCTCAGATGTTGTTGCCTACACTGATGAAGGACAGTGACTTCCGGCCTGTGTGCTTTCCTCCTCTTAACAAATGAGCGTCTTTGGCCAGAAGAAACACTAAGATTTTTGCTTTTGTTTTGTTCACCCCCTCCCCCTGCCATTTGTACTTTGACTTGGGTCTCCTTCCCAATCTCCTCTTTCTTCCTTATGGACAGAACCAGGTCAATTTCCTCAGGTTAGGGCTCCCATGTTTATAAACAAACCCAGATGCCAGGCCTGGCAGCCTTTGGCTGCTGCAGGAAGCAGGAAGGGCTTTCTATTTCATGAGGACTCTACATATCTACAGCACCCATCTGGCTGTGCTTTATCCTTCAGGCAAGCAGAGTGCACATAATCCATTATTTCCTCTCTTTCTGCCCTGCACTTTACCAAGTCCTGCATTTTCAGAGAAGAAGCCCACACTTAAACAGCTACAAAGCAGCAGCTCATCAAGCCCACATAGCACAGTGGTGCGGGTCCAGAGCACCTCCTGACCAGTCACTGTTAGACTTTGATCCTTGACCTCCCTAATCCTCAGATACCTGTTTATAACATGGGGATCTTAAGGCCCACATCACAGAGCTGGGATGAGGACCACAGCAGATACCGTATATCAGGGCCACTGCAATAGGAGTGGGATATAAATTAGGACCTGGATGTAATTTGTGAATGAGGTTAGATTGATGGCTCTACTTGACATTTTAAAGACCCCATTAATCACATAGAAAACCCGTCCCTCAAGTGAGCCCCCTCCTTTCCTACTTAGACATGAACCCCAGAGGCAGAAAACCAAAATACACAACTGGGGACAACAGAGCCTTTTTCTAATGTAGTCTATATTTTTGTAACTTTTAAGAACTTTCTGGAATGGGACTATCACAATGACCCAACAGATTACTTGTGGGATGAGAATCAAGAAGAAATAATATAATTCCCTTTTTGCAATGTTAGGTCTCTGGGTAAGCCCCAGAGCCCCTAAACATCCCAAATGACCACTCAATGTTGGTGGTGGGGGGGTTCAGTGAACAAGCCTTAATTTGCTCTATCACCATGTTGATTTTAGAAGGAATAAATAGATTGGATGAGGAAAGGAGAAAAAGAAGCCATTAGGGAGGAAAGAGGTCTGCACTGGAGCCTAACTCCAGAAAGCACCACTCTGAGGTCAGAGGGAAACATCCATTAGTTCCTCTAAACAATGTGAACTTCCAAATACTTGCCCTTCAAGTCTGAAAGTCAGTCTTTGGCTCTAGGATGCAGAAGTCACTGGATGCATTTGACAGCACTTCTTAACCCCAGTAACAGTAGACAAAAATGATCAATTATAACTGATGTCTGCAGAGCTTCTTACATTTAACGAAGTGCAGGGAATCAACTGGCCTTCACTCTGTTTTTGATGGTGGAAGGTTTCCTTCATGTGCATGTTTGAGAAGTTGATGGAGGAAGAGGAAGTGGGAGGAAGGGGGAGGAGCAAATGGGGGGAGAGAGGGGATGTCTCTCTTTCCTTCTTTCTTTCTGACAGGGTTTCTCTGTAGAGCTCTGGTTATTCTAAAACTAGCTCTGTAGACCAGGCTGGCCTCAAACTCAGAGATGTGCCTGCCTCTGCCTCCCGAGTGATGGGATTAAAGGTGTGCACTGCTACCCCTGAGAGGCTTTCTTAAATGATTTGCACAATGGCCCGGAGGTACTCCTGGGTGTCAGGGAGGAGGTCTGTGAGCTGTCTTGGCTACAGCTCCTGGCTGACTCAAACCACTAGACTGTACTTGTTTCTCTGGCTTGATAAACATCACTTGGGAGGCCTGAACTGTGCTGGGAGCCCTTCAGAGAAAGGAATTGTTGGCATGGCCCCATACAGTAGAATGTGAAGGCATGCCAGGATGCCAGCCCACACTGGCTGTCCAGAAATATGTGAAGCTTTCTATCCCAGGCCTGTTGACAATCACTCACAGAGTCCATGCTGCCCACCAAAGATGGGTCACATGACATTCCAGAAATGAACTGTGTTACAAAGTAACCCCTCCTGAGTCTTTCCCCATTTCCCATGTAATGTGGGGTCTTCTCAGAATTGAAACTTGATGCAGCAATGATCAGGGGACTGTGGGACTGTGTTAGCTTTAACCATGATGTTAATAAAACACAAATTTCCTAAAATAAAGCACATATTTCCTAAAGCCCTTTTCACAAACACCATGTCATTTCACCAACTACAAATCTGGTCCAGGAAGTTCCTTTTCTGTTCTGTAATTGAGGAAAGCAAAGTGCATGTGAGAAGAAGCCTACCCAAGGTCACAGAGCTGAGAAATAGTCTGACATCCAGACAGAGGAAGCTGGTCTTCACCTGCCTGTAAGGTTAAAGAATTGGCTCCTAGTACACATGTAGGGTTGAGAACAAGTAGAATATATATTTTTCTTTCTTTATTTATTTACTTTGGCCTGACACATATTTAGGTCTCTGGGGCACTTGTGGCCATGTAAAGATCTCTGGATAAAAATTCTATTCCCTTTGGGAGTTTGGTTATTTTCTTTTGACCTTCAGAATTGCTAAGAACGACAGCAAAGAGCTTCTTCATGCTTTTGGCCTTTGGTTTTGCGTCTTCTTTTTTTTTTTTTTTTTTTTTTTTTTTTTTTTTTTTGAGGCAGAGTCTCACTAAGTTAGTTGCCTTGGCTAGCCTGGAACTCTCTACATAGACTGTGCATTGGTGTGTGACCTGCATGTATGTCTGTGAGGGTTCAGTCCCTCTGGAAGTAGTTATGGCCTTCCATATGGGTGCTGAGAATTGAATCTGAGTCCTTTGGGAGAACAGCCAGTGCTCTTAAACACTGAGCCATCTCTCCAGCCCTGGGTTTGTTTCTTAACTAATGCATCCTGCTAAAAAGTGATTGGTGATCACTTTCCCCCAAGCTTCTTACTCTGTCCTGGGCCAGCTGGAAGTCTGCAGAACAAGGCTTCTCAGAGGAAAATGTGTAATTTTTTTTTTTTTTTTTGCAAAGAACTCCAAGAATAGGCTACATAAGACACCCAGGAAACTTAAAAAAAAAAAAAAAAAAAAAAAAAATCAGCATGGGGAGGAGGGCCCCAAGTCGCTGACACTGCACTGTCCTGTAGCTGACATGGCTACTTCCCCTCCCCATTGCACACCATGATATTAGAGCGTGGAGGCAGGGTAGGGCTCTGCCCTCAAGAGTCACTGACAGTGGGATTCGGGAAAATTGTTCACCCTTTGGGCCATTACTACCCACCAGCAAGCAACACAGGATGAAATCAATGTTTGTGGGTGCTGACCTCCAACTCCTCCACTGGAGAGCAGGGCACCAGTCCCCACCCACTGTCTCCACATCTAACATGAGTCAAACCCCTGTGGCTTGTTTCTTTTGATCTAATCAAGCTTCAAAGGCTTGTGCCAAGGCCCATCATCACGAGAGGAGTGTGGAGTACTCTCATGATTTCCAGTCACAAGAATACCAACGCCCCTTCTCCTGGACTCTGTCACCCCAAAAGTGACTAAATAATGAGGTCAGGAAGACTCAGAAAACAAACCAATACTTTATAATGCAGACAGTGGCTGAGACCTGGGACAGACCCTGATTTGGGACTGAACTGGGGCAGGAAGGTAGCTTCATTCCTCCAGCTTTCCTTTCACTATCGTGTGCTTAGCTCACTTGCAGCTCCCACTTTCTCCTTGGGGTTGGGGGTGGGGAACCCACAATAAAGGGACAATGAGCTGAGAGGTCACCAACCCAACAATCTTGATCCATTTAAGTGCCACTAGCCCCTGAGAACACACATAAGGTGAGGGAACTTCCCGTGGATGGTGGCAGCCACTGGCGGGGCCACAGCTGGGCTTGTTCAGTGACCCCAGCACCCGAGACCTGTAGAATCCTTACACAAACTTATAGCCATCTCCCCCTTCAGGAGCCTTCTGTCATACCTTGAGTGGGAGTGGCCCGTGGGGTCCCTGGAAGAGGAGGAAGGGAGGCCAGGTGGAGGAAGAGAGCCCAGAGTGTTGCTGTGAGCTGTGTGTGAACCAAGAGTACTTTGTTCTCCCACCCACCAGAAGGCACAGCTGGCTGTCTGGGCTGGGGGTGGATGAACCTCTTAGGCTGGGAGATGGCAGTTTCCCAACGCCCCAGGCTCCAGGTCTACCTGAGGGAAACAGGGCTGGTGCTGCTTTTGTTTTGTTTTCCTTTTCACTTTTCCAGTTTTACATTAAAAAAAAAAGAAAAGAAAAAAGAAAAGAAAAGAGTTGGCAGTTGGAAAAGCCTGAAGGGCTTTTCACAGCAATTTCCCTAAACGGTGGGGTTAGTGCTGTCTATTTGCCAAGACGGTTATCTGCCCCCACCCCCAAGTCCAAGAAAACAATAACCCTGTTTAAACGTCAGTAAGAGTTTGAGAGCTCACTCCTAAGAGAGCCTCCAGAGCCCCCAAAAGTATGCTCAGAATTCCTCCTAAGGACCCTACGTGGCTGTACCCGAGGCTTGAGCACCTCTGTTGGTGGCTGGGCCAGAGCCCCTGACAAGTTGCACCCAGAATGACCTCTTAATGATTTGTTGGCATTCCTCCTATCTGAGGCCCTAAGAGAAGCCCAGGTAGGTCTCAGGCCAAGGACACAGCCCCTCCTTCCCCATCATCTGATTCCCATCCCTAAACTGCTGCCTTGAGATCCAGTTAGCTGCCTGGTGGAAGGCCACTTACCTTACTTTGTTTTCTGTCCAGATAGAACTGATGTTGGCTAATCGCCATCGCCCAAATGGACTTGATTAATGCTGGACATGCATACCACGTGTGCACAGCAATGCCACTGTGCCCAAAAGTCCTCCTGGTCACTGAAGCCCTGGGAAAACAAGAATCCCAAGTTTCACTCAGTCTCTGTGATGACGGGGAGAAGCCATTCATCAAACAGCAGTAAGTTTGAGAACCTGGAGATGTGAAGGGGACAGAGGAGCTCACACAGAAACACACTCACACAGGTACATACACTGGAGTATTCAAACAGCCTTGCCTTGACTTCTCAAGCTTTAGCTCTAGGACAGGATGGGTCATTCTAGGTCACCTGATGATCCTTTTTGATCTCCAAGCTCCTGGCATGGAGCCAAGACAAATCTCAGAGTCAGGAAAAGCCTTTGACAATACTCTATTAACCAGGCAATGCTGCCTATGGCGAAGATGGGTGATTTCTTCCCTCCTCTCCACAGGCATGAATACTTCCTACATCCTAAGACTTCCTGCATTGCTCTAACTAGAAAGATGTTCCCTGAAAGGTCTAGTCAACTGGTACAGATCCATTCCCAGAGCATAAAGAATCAGGAGAGGGAAGGTAGTGAAAGAGGAACCAGCCACTCCCCTAAAGTCTGTGTGTGCAGTGCAATTCTAATTGGAGTACATATGGAGTAGATAGAGGCAACTGGGGATTAAAAATAAAAATGGGAACCATCAGTCTCAACATGTTAATGGTGTCAGGGGCTGGGGAATAAAAATGTATAGGGCCACAGTCTCAGTGAAGTATATTCTAGGATCCCTGAATTAAATCTGAAAACAGTGCCAGAGACTTGTTGCCAAGCCTGACAACCTGACTTTGATCCTTTGGATCCACATGACATAAAGAGAGAAATGACTCCTGCAAGTTGTTCCCTGACTTCTGCCACATATGTACATACACATGAATACACACATGCACACATGTATGTACATATGTGCACAAAGGCAACACATATGCACATATACACAAACAGAATATTGGATATTTTAATCTGAAATATTTTAGCTATCTTAGATATTTTAAATTTAGAACAAATGAAAGTATTTGTGGGGAGAGGACGAGGGAGGGAGGAGGGGGTAGAGTGAGGCTGGGAAGATGATGGGAAGATGACTCAGTGAGCAAAGCACTTAACCTACAAAATACAGGGACTTGAGCTTGGATCCCTAGAAGCCCCAGGAAGCTGGGTGCATGGCATGTGCATTTGCGCCCCGTGCTCTTTGGTGAGGTGGAAGGCAGAAACAGCACAGTGACCCCTGAAAGCTTTGCTGCCAGCTAGCCTGACATGAGTAGCAAGGGACACAAGACCTGTCTCAAGCCAGGTGGAGGGTGAGGGCCTCTGGCTGCCACATGTGTGCTGTGGCTTTATTCACAAACACATCATGTATACCAAAGACGAGGGGGCGGTGATGGCAGGTTGGGGTGTTACTAGGGCACTTGATTTGTGTGTCAGAAGAAATAGCAATGACTGTAAAAAGAAAAGATCTAATTTGGAAGAACTATAGACTCATCTGGACTTATGAGTAATTATAGCATTTTTCCAAACCCCATTTGCCTTTAAAATTTAAAGCTAATCTTATTGCCTTATTCTTTAAGGTAAAGATTTAACAAGGAGGCTTCTTTATGCCCACATTTAAGAGGAAATACAAATTTGGTAGTTAGAAACCTGATGCTAGGCAGGTTGGGTACCCCCCCACTCCCTGCCCCCAGCCTCTGGAGAGTCATAGTAGCTGTCATCTGAACTCCTAGTTTGACTGGGAGTAAATGAAAAACAAAATTTTCCTCCCCCAGGAAAGCTAAAGTAGCTAGAAAAAGTAACTTGAAATGTACGTTTGTAAAGGTAGGGTGAGCTGTAAAAATCCGCACGATACAACTTTCCAGGTAACATGAGTAAGGGAGGCAGGCATAAGTGGTTCATCGGGTCTGGGAAGTCAGTTTCATGGGAACATCCACATCAGATACTCTTGGGGTTTTCTCCTGCTCCATTAGGAACTTATCTCCTCTGCTCATCTCTCTTCTCAGCCCTCCCCACCTCACCATCTGCTTCACCTCAGCAATGGATCAGCGCTTGCTAAATCTAGAGAATGACAGAAACAAAGGTAGGTTTGGAACTGGGTAAAAAGGGGAGTAGAGGCCACCACAGATCCTGTGTCCCGTGGGGCAGGCACACGAGGGAAAGGAAGATTGAGATTATGTCTGTCCCATTCCACCCAGAAAGCAGTCTCAATCCCAAGTGATGTCCCTGTCACAGACTCAGGGCTGCTTTTCCTCAGGGAAGACGGTTATACTCGAGTTCAGACTGCCATCTTAGGGCTTTCCATCCATATAAAACCTTCCATCCTCTCATGACTTCAGTTGTCCTTACCCCTGAGGGCCACCTCCTCGTGACCCTATGGGTTTCAGATCTCTTCTCAGGAAGCTCTACCTGACCAACTGGGCCTTGGGTGTTCACGTCATTTATCACTTTGGTTTGCGGCATTTGGCACCCAGTACTCCCTGCCTGGCAAACAGCGTAGCACTAAAGTTCATAAGCTCTGGCCTCAGACTTCTAGGGTTCAAATCCAGCCTGTGTGTCAATATCAAAGCCCATCAATTACTTCTTTTACTGGTGTCACCAACTCTGCTAACAGCTCCTGATGGAAGAGGGTACTGACTCAGCTTTCCTTTTGTAACTGTTCACATCTAACATAAAAGAACACAAAAGTCCTCAAGATACGTATCAGACAGATTACATTTGTGAAATAAGCCAAAAGCCCACTACATGGTAATATATGATGTGAGATCTCTTTTCTATATCCCTAGACCTCGGTAAAGTGAGAAAAATTTAGTAATCACTAATGAGATCACAGACATAGAAGGGATATACAAATATGTATATGACACACACACACACACATACACAGTGGAAGAATTTACCCCATGTACAAGCAGAACATAGGCATAGAGACTATCTATTTCCTGTGCTCAGGCCCACAGGTGGCCCTTTTTTTTTTTTTTAACTTTTGCTCTGTCAAGCATCCCTTTCTGTCTATGACTCACGGTGTAGAATTCATTTCACCCCTTTTTGCACTTAGGTTTCCTTTTCTCGCATGTGTCTATGAATCTTAGTCTGACATAAGTTCACCTGGAAAAATAGCAGCAAGTTTCTCCCAGGCTGGATTATTATTTTTGGCATCAACCTGCCCTTCCTCGGCCTGTGCAGATGGATTGTGCTCTGTGGAGGAGGGTCTTTAGACCATGAAATGCATCCCAGGATCCTGAGAACCCCAGAACAAGCCAACCTTCTGCTTAATAGTACCCTCTGCGTCTGAATGCAGACTCAGAAACTCTAGAACCTTCTGTTCTCCAGCTAGTAGTCTCATAGTAACTGAGGGGCAGGGATAAACTCTTGCCTACAGGAGGGAGGCTGTTCCATTTAGATTACAAGGAGGTACATAACACAGCTGGATTATCAGCAGCAGCAGCAGGCATGAAGGCTTCTGCACAAACCTCGGCCTTCTCCTTGGAGGCAAAGTCTTATCCTGAGTCCCTAGTCCCTAGGCACCTTGGAGGGCCTAGTTACTTGTCTGTATGCTAGGTGGGGTTGCTTGCCAGCACTTCCTCCTAAGTCCAGGGATGATTATCAACAGCACCTGAAACTCAACCAAGGCTTCTCAAGTGCATCTGATCTATTTAGTGTCTCTCCAGGCCTGCCTGCTTATCATATACATCTGGACTTACAGATAGCAGTTTATTCCTAAATGTCAGGAATGGCACAGGGGATGCTGCTGCTGGCTATGGGCTGCTTGCAGCTTTAGGATCATCAGCACACAAAGAAGATTGCCAGCAGAGGGTAGATGGTGCCCAGACTCCTTCCCTGCAGGGGTTCTCTGCATTCCAAACTGGGACCCCATTGTCTGGCATCCAACTTGGAACACAGGTTTTTAAGGCGGGTGTTCTTGGGAGTACAATGTAGGAGGAAGGAGAAATAATTACATTTATTTCTCATCTACCCACAATGCTAACATCCAAAAATCACAGCTCCCTGCTCAAAATAAATGAACCAAACCACTTTGGTGACAGATGTCTTTCAGTGTCCACTGTCCTTCCTGAAATAGTCTCAGCACCTCTAGCAAGGACACCTTTGGTCTCTTGTCTGTTACAAGGGCACTGCCCCCATGTAACTCAGTGTTGTTCCAAAGTGCTACAATGTTTCCTCAGCATCACACACACACACACACACACACACACACACACACAGAGAGAGAGAGAGAGAGAGAGAGAGAGAGAGCGCAACATGTAGCCTGATGAAATGATCACAGAATTGCTAAACACACACACACACACACACACACACCATTTATCAACACAAATTTACGGTCTGATGTGAGCAGCTCTACGACTCACCATCCTCCCTTCTCCCCTCACCCCAAACTGGTCATGAACATTAGCCATCTCGACAACACAAAACTGATACACTAATAGCATGCCACACACTCTCAAAAGAAAAAGGCTTTTCAGACTTACCTGCGGGGGTCATGAACTTCCACGGAAAACTTCTTTTCTCTGAAATAGAGATTCTCCAACTGCCTCCATTGGAATATCTGGACGGAAAACAACGCAGTTTAAATTCAGCAGCGATGTGTTCCCTGGTCTCAGTCCCTTCTTTGCTGATTAACTTTTTCAACAGCTGAGAGTTTCCTTATCATAGCAGAGTTGTTGGTGCCTCCTCGGGTAGCCTGCCTACTACTAGTGCTTGAAACACACACACACACACACACACACACACACACACACACACACACACCAGTGGGTGTGGATTTTTCCTGCAGGTTCCTTAACAGGAACAAAACAAGTTCTTTTTCAAGTTTGTTCCCCTTTGGCTCGTGCCTTTGTTGAATTCTGCAAGACAGTTCCCAGCTCACAGACTTTTCCCTCCAAAGAGAGGGAGAGGGGATGGGGGCGGGGAGATGGGAGGAAGGAGGAGGGAGGAGAGGATCGGAGCCGGGAACGCAGCCGTGCTCAGGAGGGAGCGGTAGCCATCTGTGCTTGCAGAGAGCTGAGCAGTGAGCGCTTCCTCCCCTCGAGTGCTGAAATGGGAAGGCGTTCAAATTCCCAGCCTCCCTTCGGGACTCCACTTCCTGCCGCTAATGTGCAAGAGCCTCAGACATCCTCACTCGCTGGAGGGCAGAGGTTGTTGCGACCATAGTCGGGGGCAGGCGACTCATGATCACAGAGTGTGCTTGTCATGCCTTTTTTTTTTTTTTTTTTTTTTTCTTTTCCTCAGCACAAGGGGGGCGGGGGATGAGCAAGAGTTCTGTCACTGTAGGGATACCATAATCTTGCCTTGCCAGCTAGAGAAGGTCCAGGGAACCCTAGGAGTGAAAAAAGCTGATCTTGAGGTTGGGAGGCAATTAGGGCTGCTTTCGATTGCTCTAGAAGTGGGGTGCCTTTTTCTAGATGAAAGTGAAAGTTACTTAGCGGTCTAGGGAATACCACCAGAGGCTAAACTGTGCTCACACGTGCTTGCATTTATTATGTATTTATTATGTTCACGAAGCTTCCTTTTCCTTCTATACACTTAGAATGTAAGTTTGTTTTGATCAGGGACAAGCAGGGTACCTGATCTTGTCCTTCCCTGTGAGATTCTTCCCTGCAGTCTTGTCTACTCCATATGGGGGCATAGCTTTTAAGGTTTTTGTTCTAGTCTGGGTCCCCAGCTCCCTATTATAGACAGCAACCACCTTTCAGATAGGAAGGCCATTTTCCTGTGCTCCATAAGCCCTGTTATTCCCAGGCCCAGAATGCAGTTAGTAAATACTTAGCCAGTGGATTTACCACCCAAGTAAAATTGGGCTGCAGTTAAAACCGGTTTCTAGAGTGGCTGCATTGTTTCATGTCCACACTCTCCTTGGTGGAATTCTAAAATTATTTTGCCTGCATGGGTAACCGGAAGGGTGAGGGGCAACTATTGAATCTTACTAGAGGCCCACTTCTTCATCCATAGTGCATTCCACTGAAGCCAGGGACTGGAGACTTTTCTGTCTCTCTGAAATCAGTTTCAAGTTGCAAGAAAAGCAAATGACCCAAAGTCTTGCATTGGCTCAGATGGCTCTGATCATTCTGTCTTAGTCACTTAAATACACAGAACAATGTCACAGGCAATGAATGGGTGCCCTGCCTCCATGAATCCCTGAATGCAGACACTTTGAATCTCGGATACCCACTTGTTGGGTATAGATATCTCACCTATAGATCACTCCACCACAGCCATAGAGACACTAGAACTACTGGACTGTATGGCCTTGGCCTTGCACATAACCTGCCATACTATAGAATGCCATGGCAAGACACAGGCTTCAGAATCTGTAGCCTCTGTTTAAATCCAGGCTCCCTGCCTTCCAACTCACTAGCCTCTAACTTGTAGCAATCCCCTTAGCATCAGTTTGCCCAGCTGTAAAATGGTAAGTATGGCCCCTACAAGATCTGTCTTAACAGCAGCAGATCCTGAACTCAGCAACGGTACAAATAAGTAGACAACAAACGTGGACTTCACTGTGTTTTCCTTATGCTCTTAGTGTTCCCAGATCCTAGCAAATGAGAGAATAATTACCGACCCACCAGAGTTCTTAAATTTCCAAAGTCTTGACTTAGAGCTTAAAAAAATTAAATGAGTTTATGTGTGTGCTGGAAATCTTACAGTAAGTATAAAGGCTTCTCTCTCTCTCTCTCTCTCTCTCTCTCTCTCTCTCTCTCTCTCTCTCTCTCTCTCTCTCTCCTCTCTCTACAAAGGATGTTCTTCTCAAATCCTACCCTACATACCCTACATTCATCCCAGCCTAACAAAGTGGATCCTTGTACAGCAATGGCTTTATGGATGTGTGACTAAAGTGTCCCTTGCTCAAGAGGGCCATGCACCTGCTGTTGCCTTTTTGAACTTTCCAATGTGTTTTCATCTGTTTTGCATGGAGCCTACCAATGATACAGCTGGTCCTTGTCTCAATAGCGTGGAGTGGGAGTTAGGAGTCCCATCTGCTTCTGATGTACAGACCAGAGAAGGTAGATGCCCCCACCTCCCAGGAGGAAAAGAAGCTACACCTGGCCTGAACACTCTGGCGAAAGCTCCACGTGCACCTTTTTTTTTTTTTTTTTTTTTTTTTTTTTTTTGGAAATGCCTCCAGGCCTGATAAAGAACCCTACAGCACAATGCTCTGAGGGTCGGTTTCCTGGCAACTTCTTCTTCCCCAGCTCCTTGCAAAAATATAAAATACAAACCATGCCTTTCCTCTAAGTGGTCCCTGATGCTGTGCAGTGTGGAGTTCTGTGTGTCTGCCAAAGGGCCCAAACAAAACCATCTGGGCTTGCTGCAGGCCCTCATCTTAGCCGGGGTGGCTGCCCAGGGAAAAGGGAGGGGCTCTGCTTGGTGCTGCTGTGGAGGCTGAGCCCTGGAGTCGTGATTCCCAGGGTGCGTCCCCAGAGTGATGTACATTTCTGTAGGAATTTTTGTAGCCTGCAGAACAGTAGATTCCCTGATAGCTGTTTTAGCACAATGTTATTTTGGTTTTTTATTTTGCAAATTAAATACTGGGAAGGAAAGGTGGGAGTAGAAAAAAAAAATGAGTGGGTAGTTTTTCTAGACCTGATAGTTGCTTGAGGATGTAAGAACCCTGAAGGAATGGATGGGGACAGCCACAGAGGCAGCCACACAGGCTATTGCTTTTTCCTCCCTAAGAGGCAGTAGAACTAGGGAGCCAGCAAGCTGTTGGTGGTTGGGGTGGGGGGAGTTGGAAGGCTGCAGGGGTGGAGAGGGCAGGGACAGCTGTTGCTGGCAGCAGGGCTGGATGTCATTTCAGCTGAAGGCACTATGCTCTTTGTGGGGGTCTAGTGCATTCCTGTACATGTGTTGCTGCACCCCACTTAGAGCTGCTGGCTGCTCAACACTCAACAATAAGGAAATAAGCAAAGGGAAGATGCCTGGTTTCATGTCCCCCCCCCCCCCCCCCCCCGGTAAATAGGGAGGGATGAGCTATTACTATCCCTGGGGCCACTCCAGAGGAGCCTCCATGACCTGGTTTTCAGAGATCCAAACTATTCTGTAAAGTCATCAGTGGGATTTGAGACCCCACACAAAGACACACCAGACTTTTGATAACTGTGACGAACACTGGGCTAGCTCCCTATGGGCTCCACTACTTCTATGGCCAATTATGTGCCCAAGGAGCTAATTATAAGCTCAACAATGTAGTCCTATCAATAATCAGAGATTCTATTGATTAATACCTGTTAAATCAAGGCACTTCAGCCAGTCATCTCCACAAAGCTCCACAGACACGGTTTCTTTGCTCGTTTAGCATCCCCTCCCCCAAGGAAAGAAAAGTGGAAGGTTGGGGGGGGGTGGAAAAGAAACAAGGAAGGCCCACAGAAATGAGGGGAAACTGCCTAGGGCAGTTCTGGAGGAACCAGAAATAGAAGTCAAGGGCACCTGGTTCATTACTCTGACCACTAACTATGCAGCTGTCCCTGGGAGTCCACCAATTAGGGAAAACAGCTCTCATTCACTAATGGGTGGTTAACTTTACAAGTGGAGTGCTTTTTCACAAATGGGCAACAAGATGGCTGTGAGAAGGCAGCACCAAACCAAGTTTTTTTTCCTCTTACACCATATCTTTGCTTTTCTTTCACACTGTAAATAACATGTCTACTTTCTTTTCTTGGAGAACTAGCTTCATCCAGGTTTCTACAAGGCAACTGTCTCAAAACTCAGCAGCTTTAGTCAAAGATTAAGAGACAACATTAGCCATGATTAAGAACAGCCTGATGACTGAGTTTGCATGGGAAATAAAAGTTTAAGAGGCTTGGCATGATGGTTCTTGCTTGTGAGCTTGTCACTCAGGAGGCTGAGACAAGAGAATCATACATATTCACACATATACATATACATATGCATATACATATACACACATATACATACATATACATATATATCCTATTTCTAATAATAAGAATCATAGTAATGTAATGAATTAAGAGACCCCCAAAACAGAGAGAAACCATCAGTAAGGCATTTTACTAAAGTGGTGTTTGTCACAATCAATGGGACTCTAAGTGTCAGGTAAGAGTTCTCAGTCTCTGACTTAGCCTTTCCCATAGTTACAACTCCGCTGCCTTCCCATTCTGGACCTGAGTGCCCTCATGTGTGAAACTGAGATGGGTAATGTTTGTTCACAGAGAGCAAACAAACATGGCTTTGAGCCCTGAATTTGATGGGGCACTCTGTAAATCCTTAATGAGCAGGGACCTCCTGGACCCTGGATCCTATTAGCTGGTTCACTAGATTCCCATATCCTGTGCCTGGCTGAGGCTGTGGAAGAGGAAGGGGCCTCAGCTCCACTTCCTCTCCAGCCAGCATTTATGAAGCACTGGGGGACGGCAAGTAGAGTAGCAGGCAGGCTATCAGGATGGTGTATGAATAAAGACTTGAGAGGAAGCTAGGCTCTGATTCTTGACCAGGACTTTAGGGAGCCTTGTCTTCTTCCTGTCCCTGAGGCTGAGTCATAGAGCCCCTGAATGACCTCCTTATGAGTAACTTCCTGCTTCATCCAGA